TAATTAATTGTCTTACATTTTAGCCTTTTTTTAACTCTTGGATCCTGTATTGCCATGCCGCCTCTTGCAGCATATTTATTAATTACAATTGGATTTATATCTAATGGTGATAAAAACTGAAAATATATAAATATTATTCTTTTAATTGGTTATAGATATTTTTCTTGCCTTTATGGGCTGCACCGCTAGACTCTCTTTTCAGGTGATTTTTTCTTTGGCATGAGTAGCCAGGGGATCTCCCAAAAAAATAATAATCTTGAAATGAGTATTTACTTTTACTTTATACTTATGAATTTTAAGAGTCTGTAAAAGTTTCAAATTAATCTATAGTTGATTCGATCCATTTTGAGAAATAGTTTGAATAATCTATTTTGTAAAATTAGTTTAATTATTGACTTTATTTTTAAAAAATAGATTGATTTGTTTTGAGTTTTTTTTAATTGATCCATATATGAATATAAAGTGGATAATTGTATTTATTAAATTGATATAATTTTAAAAAAGTTTATCCATATTTTTAAAGAATGAGACCAATTTACTTTATAAAAAAATAAATTAATTTACTGATACTTTATGAATAAATTAATTCAATTCAATTTAATTTTTTTTAAAATTCAATCCATAAATACTTTTACTAATATATAATTTTAGGTCGGGAGAAGGTTGGGTGAATTTGACCCAACCTTGTAGGCTAAATAAGTTAAGTTAAGCTAGTAAAAATTTAGTTCACAAAATATTGGACCTATTTGATTGTGTCTTTTTTTTTCTTCTTCTAAATATTATGTATAAACTTACTGAAAAAGAAATAAAATGGTTCGATTTGACCATGGTCATCAAGCTAATCTAGGCTAGAGAAAACACAACTTGCATTATAAAAAATGTTACATATAAGTGTTTAAGGTACAACTACAAAATAAAACTAAATGTTTTATTAATTATTTTCTACTGATTATAAAAAAAATACCACCCTCATTCTATTAATCTCACTCTTAAAATAGTAATCCTTTTACCATAACTATTGTTCATTTTCCATATCACAACTTCATTTGTTATTGTCACCGCTTTCCATGATCAAAATCATTGTTGAATTGTATTATTGTTAATGTTGTCACAGTCCAACAACTTACATCATTGATATTGCCACCCAACAACCTCCATCACCAGGCTTAACATCTTCACCGTCAACCTTATTAGTATTATTTGCCCTATCACCCTCGTAAAAGAGGTATTAGAATTTCATATATTTAGTATTCTATTGATTGTATTTTGTCTTGTTAAAATATGAGTAAGATGTATTTCGACGTTGAAAATCACCATGTGTTTATATGTACATATTACGCCAAGTAAGTGTGATGAGTTTGTGTGTAAAGTCTTATAATCCTAATATTTATAATGATTGAATATTAATTTATCTATCTATAAAGAATGAGTTTTAGATTTTTTTAATGTTGTGGGGTTTCTATCAATTTCAAAGCAGAGTTGTTAGATATTTTTTATTAATTTCAAAAAGCTTGACATGATAATATTTATAACTTTATTTGTGAATCAAATTCTCTTATGATTTTAAAATTAATTAGAAAAAATGACAATATTTTCTATTTGCATTGCTCACTTGTAAGGAAGATCCACTACAACAAAATTGATTATTATCGACAATTATTTAGTAACAATAAATTAATTGTCTTTATTTTATTATTAAATAAAAATATTAATGATTAATATATAATGACCATTAAAAATGTATTTATATCACACCAAAATTTACTATTAGCGACAATTATTTATTTGGAAAAACTTAAGTCTCAAACCGACTAGAAATAAGATAATTAAAGAGAATATAAATGGATAATAATTCTGATCTTACAAGTTTGTTTTGTAGGGTTAAGTTAGACCTATAACTTACTATTCTAAGTTGGTATTAGATTGCTCACCATTATCAAACTCAATAGTCTCTAAACTTAGGGTGTAATTTAAATTGCATATCGATTATTGATAAAATAATTAATTAGGAGATAAAATAATTAAAAAATATATAAGTACGACCATTACAAAGATTTTTACCAGCATTTAGAATAATTGTCGCTAAATATTTTAGCAACACTGCATACAATGACTATTGTTGAAATGCCGTTAAAAGATTTTGTAACAATTTTTATTACCACTAAAAATCATATTAAATGTCACTAAAAATTTATTTTATTATAGTAATTCAACATTTTGTTTCTTTAAATTAAATTATTAACTTTAAACATGTTTATTTCATGTGCAAATTTTTTGACAAAGGATAACGTCATACATATTCAGTTCATACAAGTTTAAATGAACAATTCTTCTCAACTTATTTCCCTTTTATTGGCTAATGTCATAACTATCTTACATGAAGCATCAACAAAAAATAAGAATCTTAAGATCTTGACTTGACTTCAATGCTCTATGACGACTTGTTACTCCATACAAGAGTCAAACTGCGATAAAGTAGAGAATTATTTTTCATATATACATTTGTATACGTGTTTCCACAAGGTCAAGTGATTGCCATAAATAATGTTTTCTAAGATATATGCAATTTATTAATTAGTTAAAAAAAGGATATATGCAATTTACGAGTACTTGATGTTATTCTTTGGTTGTTCTAAATTAATATTGGTATAGATCGAATTAATATTAATTCCCACATGTGATATAAGAGCGAATTATAGTAAGTTTAGAACCCTAGAATTCAAATGGATTTATTGAAATATTGAGAACTTAGGATTTAAAAGTTAAAAACTCTCAACAGATTTTGTTTTGGAATAGTTGCGTTGCTAAACGTTCCCAACAAGAGCATTGTCGACCGAATACATGAGCAAAGGTTTTATGAGTGAATTTATTTTCCATGCGTTAATATTTGTATTATGGTGAGGAAAAGGATCACTGCATTATGCGTGAATTCTTTTTCCATATATATATGTTAATATACTTGTATTATTTTATATAGTCTTTAGTTGATCGTGAAAGGTATATGTTGCATATGGTTTTTGTATTATATGTTGACATATATACTGACTGATTAACCATATCCACTAACAAACTAGACTCAATTGCCACAATTATGTAACAACCTGTAACAATATAAAAGATGGTGCAAGAATATTAGAATAGCATAGCATAGGAGCCAACTTGTTGCAGGAAACATTGCATGAAGCATTGCAAAAGAGAAAAATACATGCATTCAACTAAACTAGCCACACTGAAACATTGTGAGCCTCTCTTGCATTATACCCTCCATTTGTGCTACTTCCTTTCTGGGCTTTCTTCTTTGTTCCCCCACCCCTTTGTTTGTTGTTCACTCTCTCTTCCCAGTGGCCAACATCTTGTAGAGCCTTCTTCTCCCTCTGGTCCCACTGTCACATATTAAGAAGGTATTCCTCCATATGAATGAGGGTAATAACATTATTGTTCTTATTTTTTTTAGTTTTAACCATGCATCTTTATTATTTTTTTATATATTATTCTAACGTTCAAGCAAACTGTGTAAATGTTTTCTGGCTCTTATAATTGAGAATGTCGGAATGTGCAATGCTGGTAACATGTTTTCTGATTTTTATGATAACCGGGTCTTTACTTTTTGCTTTTTTATTTTGTTGCTACATTTTTAGAGGTGCAAGTCCGGGGGTAAGAGAGGGAAAAACCGGCTTTAAGGCTTGAATCGATGCAAGGATTGCGTTTGATTTCCTAATCATATTCACTGACACGGATATTTACGAATGTGTGTTCATGAAATTAGAATTAATTAGCGTATGCATGGATTATATTTTGGCTTCACCAAGTATATGAAGATTTGATTATCACTCTCTTCCATTGTTTGGATTCTATACGATCCCTCCTGTTGATTCCTTTCTGAACTTTAAAGCAGCTGACTGTATCAATATGTAAAAGTAATTAATTAGGATGTGTTTAGACAAACATCTTTATAAATATTTATAAAATATATATATATATATAAGAAAAAAAATAAAATAAATTTTTCTATGAACTATAATTAGTTTATATACAGATTAAATAACAAATTTTGGAGAATTTAACATGGTAAAAACTATAAATTAAATTATGAATAAGTTAATTTTACCTTTTAGAAAAACTTGTTTCATTTTTTTTTCTAGAAGTGTTTGATTAAGATATTGATTGTTTGAAATTTTTGTACATAGTTTGTAACTAGAATTGACCTCAAATATGCATAAGTAAACTTAGCAAAGGAAAGTATCTTAGACTTCAATCATCTATTTGTTAAATTACAAACTAATTGAATTAGGAACGTAAGATGGGGTAAAATTCTTGTAGTTTATTTATATTTGATGTAACCTAATTCTTAATAATAATAATAATAATAATAGAAATATAGTTGTGTGAATGTTTATTCTCTACTTTTAAAATCTGGTCGCTATTGCTAACAAAAATTATGTTTACAACAATTTATTGAAGTTTAATTTTTAGTTACTAATCGTTTTATTTTTTTACATTGTTAACTAATAAGAAGTTGCTCATGAAATCTATCAACTTGGTGCAAGAGGATATTAAGCGCCCCTTCTGTGTTATGTCTAAAGTGTGTGGGTATCTTGTAAAAATTGCAAGTGGAGTAATAAAATTAATTTGTTGAGTATATTTGTGGATGTAGGCAAGAAGTGTTGAACCACGTTAATTTCTGAGCTTGTTTCTCTATTTTTGTTTCTCTCATATGTGTGTGTGTTTCTGCTATTGAAGTTTTCTTTTCCTACCCAACATTTTGATCAGTTAGGTTTAGTGTTGGTGACTCAAAACCTGCCTAAATCACACTGTGCAGGGATGATGATGCTTGAAGTTGAAGGATCAGTTGACAATTGACATTAATTGCTGCGAGTTGAAAACCATGTTTTCTTGCGGGTCTCCTATACCAGATATGGAAAATGAATTATTTGGTAAAGCAGTAAGCACAAATTAATAGCAGAGACACTTGTGGTGATTTGTCAAGATCATACAGTAACATGTCCGAGAAGAACTTGCATTCACCATTGCCAGAGCCAGGGACTGAAAGAGATGAAGCTGCACTGAAGTTGCAAAAAGTTTACAAATGTTTTAGAACTAGGAGGCAACTTGCAGATTGTGCAGTTCTTGCAGATCAGAGATGGTAAGTTTCAATTTCAATACATGCATTTATTAGGAGAACATAATATTGGAGTTTATGTAAAAATTTAAGTCAATTGTGTGGAAACATATATTTTCAGATTAAGGAGTCTAGGAAAGATTTTATGAAAGAATTTGGAAAGGAATGTAACAATTATTATATCTCTTGTACCTGTAGAATCTTTATCAAACATTTTGGTGTTCATAATTTTATGTGATTATACTACATTTTTGTTTATAGGTGGAAGGCTTTGGATTTTGCTGAACTAAAGTGCAGTTCCATATTATTTTTTGAAATTGAGAAACACGAGACTTCTGTTTCACGATGGTCAAGAGCTAGAACGAAAGCAGCAAAGGTAAATTTCCTTTCATATGACTTGTATCATAGTATGTTGATGTTGTGGGTTGAAAGACTACCAAGTAACTTTTTTGTTCTCGTTTTCCTTATATTTAATAGGTTGGAAAGGGTTTATCTAAGGATAGGAAGGCTCGTAAACATGCTTTGGAGCACTGGCTAGAGGCAGTAAGTCAGAAAGCTAATTAAAGTGATACAACTCAAAAGTCAAAACTGTTTGTTTAATTTCTCTAACTGGTTTTTAAGTGAACAGATTGACCCTCGGCATCGTTTGGTCATAATCTTCAATTTTACTATGTCAAATGGCTTCATTGTGATAGTAATCAACCTTTCTTCTATTGGTAAGAATGTAAGATTATAAGATAAGGCATTTGTTGTTGAGGTTGTTGTTAACCAATAGCCTTCAATCAAAATATATCTATCAATCTACTTGTGTAGGCTTGATATAGGAGAGGGCAAGGAAGTGAGTTGTGAGAGATGTCTTAGATCAAAGCTTCAGCAACAATGCATCAAGTATTTGGGTCCTGTGAGTTTTTTCCCCTTTAATATCACTTTTTCTGTCATCAACATGGATCAATCTCATTCTAAAGAGATTGGTCAAACACTAAATTTTGAGCAGGATATAATTAATTCCTAAAGAAATCAATGAAAACTCCAGTTCTATCAGATAGCTTAAGTGTCAAGCAACATGCAAAAATAATTTAAAGTGTTGTATCTTTTGCAGGTGGAGAGAAAGAATTATGAAGTCGTTATTGAGAATGGGAAGCTCTTCTACAAAGAAAGTGGGAAACCTGTTGAAACAACAGGAGATAATAAGTGGATTTTTGTTCTTAGCACATCCAAGACTCTTTATGTAGGGAAGAAGAAAAAGGGCACATTCCAACATTCAAGCTTCCTGGCAGGTGGAGCTACATTATCTGCGAAGATTAGTGGCGGAGGATGTTCTTAAGGTATGAAAGATAAATATATCAAGCTTTTCATAATTTGCTTTCTATTTTGCCATTATTTGGAATACTGACAGTAGACTTTTTTTAACTCCAAAGGCAGTTTGGCCTCACAGTGGACATTATCTCCCAACAGAAGAAAATTTCCAAGAATTCATGTCATTTCTTAAGGAGAATAATGTGGATCTTACTGATGTCAAGGTAAAGGATGACTATGCTACATATAAGACAGCATGTTTCAATCAAATGGACAATCTTACTCATTCATCGTTTGCATTTCTTCCATCCATTGTGTGCATGGTAGGAGAAAATTAAAGCTAGATTAACATAAATTCACACTCTTACTCATTATTACCTCTTGGTTGTTAACTTTGGATATAGAGTTACATATAGCTGCTAACTTCAACCATAACTTTTTATTAGACAATTAGTTAATTGCCATTTACATTATGTCTAGAATTTATTTTATTTTTTTCTGGAATGCTAGTTGTCATTTTCTTATATACAGAAAAACCAAAATGAAGAAGATGTTGTAGCCAACATGATCTTTGATCTTCAATCACGAGGTAATATTTCAGATTCAGTGGCCAAGTTATCTCCAATTCCAAAGGTTGAAACAGAAAGTTCCAGCACATTAGCCAAAGAGCTACTTGAGTTGAGAAGTGAGGACTCTAATAATGCTGATTCAAAATATGATCCACCCTTGTCAAGATTGTCTCGACGACTAGGATCAAAAATAGCTAGACTTGAAATACCAAGGAGAGGCAATGTGTCAGATATTTTTGGAGAGCAAGTACATCCTCCAGAGTGCCAATTATATTCTCAAGATGTAAAATCAGACTGTGGTGATGAGACAGCAGAAGAATCAATTATTGATAATTATGAGGAAGATTTCATGGTTCCCAAATCAAACTTGTTTGTTGAAGATCAAGATCAAGATAAAGAAGAAAATTGTATTCCAAAAGAAAACATAACGAAGAGGATAGATTCACACAAAGGAATGAAATCATATAAGTTGGCTCATCACTTGAGCACCAAATGGACAACAGGTGCTGGTCCTAGAATTGGTTGCATGAGAGACTACCCTCAAGAGCTTCAGTTTTTAATTCTGGAGCAACAAAATTTATCTCCAAGAACATAACGGAATCTCCATCACCCCAGACCCCACCATTGTCTTGCTTCAGCACTCCCTCGTAGTGCTTTTCCAATTCCTTCGGCTCATTCTCAAACCCTCTAAGTGCTGTTTTTAGGGTGAACATTGTTGATAGAAAGTCAAGGACTAATTTCTCGAATCAAATCCTTGATCACGTGCTTAAGAAACAATGTTGACCTTTTAAGTGCATGAAGCATTAGCAACTAGTACATGATTATGAACCGACAATACATAGGTTAAATGATGATACTTTTGATGCCATTCTTTAAACCTATATAGTTTTTGTAGGTCTTGTGGTGCATGAGGGAACAGAATCTGGTTAAGTTATTTTATCTCCAATCTAGATTGAAACAATAGCATCGTTCAAATCATTATAATGATATGTATCATAGTTATACAGCAAATTTTCTTTGGGTATAGCTGACTCCATTTGTGCCACCTTGAAAGTATGCATCAGTAATAAGATGAAATAGGTAAAGAAGCAGACTAACTTGATTGTTAATAAACATAAAAAATGTTCACCGAGCCTTTTCGATCTCTAAAATCCGTTAAAAAGCACGCCGATTGGTTAATATTACAAAGCTTATGCGAATTAGAGTTGTTCACGAATTCAAGTTATCCATAATTTCGATCGCGCATCATACAGAAAAAGAAATCAAATTGGTCCAGATAATTCATTTAAAGTTTCAATTTTTTAATTTAGAGAAGATGAAATTATCTGAACAGCCAAATGTTACTCAGAAATATAATTTATTTCCTTTATCTCTTTTCTCAAATTCGACAATGATTTGTCATTGTATCACCCACAAAATCTGTAAATTCAACATGTTCTTTCTATGGTGGCTGTTTATTCTCCGATGAAAATAAGTTTTTATATTCATTTGGCAAAAAGGAAAAAAAATCGAAAAACTATTTGTCATAAAATTGCATTAGTTTTACTTTTTTTTTTTTATCAAAATTTAAATCTTATCATTATTTTTTTTTTATATTTTTTATCCACGTATGACTTTAAATGTTTGCTAAAAATTTATGAAATCCTTTAAAATTTTATAAATTCATAGTGCCTTTTCAAATCTTATAAATTTATTAAAATATAAACTATAAACCTTATTAAAAAAATCTCTTAAAAAAATATTTTATAAGTCATTGTTCATACCCTAAATCCTAATTCTGTTATCCATGAATTCACTTTTAATTCTCTTATCCATCAACTTTTTCAAATAATTTTTTTTTCTTATTTTTACCATTTATTGATAATATATAAATATATTTAATTTGCGACAATTAAATATTTTAAGTTTTAATTGAAAAAAAAAGAATACTGAAACTTAGTATGATCAACCAGTACGGATCCTCTAAAATACAATAATAATTAGAGTTATGTTTTACTTAAATAAAATGAAAATAACAAATGTATGTAAAAAATTGACCACATGTGACTAGTTCTATTGTTTAAGTGTTAAATGTACAAACTATAACTTTCAAAATCGGATCAAATATGTCGCCAACTTGTTTGATTTGTTAGGCTGATTTTACGGTCAAATTAATGAATTTATGATATTAACCTTTGGGTGATATAATTAATGATACACTATTTAAGTAAAATATTTTTAAGAGTGTTAAATGTAAGATTATTCAAACACATCATTTTCATGTGTGTGTAAATGTCTTCACACTAAGATAAATGATTTCTTATTAAACATATATGAATGTAATTATTTAATATTTTAGTGATTATAAAATAATATACTCTATTATTATATAATTAATTTAAATAATTTATATGATATATTTTTAATTTAAAATTATATATTAATTTATGTGGTTCATTAAGCCTATAATTTGATTATTATGTTATTATTATATTGATTATAGTTTTTTTTTAGAAGTTTCTTTAAGATATGATATATATTTTATTGAAATTTCACTAGTGCAAAAAGAGCATTTTACGTCACTTAAATTACGTCAGAATAGGTCAACGTTGACGTTATAAAAACGCGGTGGCAGAATGGTAAATAAAGAGAAGCTAATTTACGTCGGCCTGGTGGGGGTCCGACGTAAATTAGCAATTCTACGTCGGAGCAGTATAGAAGCCGACGTAGATTTGCTAATTTACGTCGGATCCCCACCAAGCCGACGTAAATAATCCACTTCACCGCACTTAAAAGAAGCTTCACACTTGCTGGAGGAGATTTGAAGATTTCAAAACCTTCCTTCTCCCGCGCGTTGTGTAAATCTCTCCGCCTCCTACTCCTGCGCGTTGTGTAAATCTCTCCGCCTCCTACTCCTGCGCGTTGTGTAAATCTCTCCGCCTCCTACTCCCGCGCGTTGAAGATTTGAAGATTTCAAAACCTTCCTTCTCCCGCGCGCGTTGCTGGAGGAGATTTGAAGATTTGAAGATTTGAAGATTTGAAGATTTCTGACATTTCATTCTCCATTCATACGACAAATGGGTGAGGAAGCAAAACTTTCTGTTGACATTGTGATTTCCTAGTAAAAAACTTTTCTTGCTGATAATGTTATCCTAAATGTGTATTTTGTACTTATTATGTGTGTTCCTTTTTATATTTTGAGTAGGAACAACCAGAAGAGAAGAGAAGAGAAGAGAAGCCAGAGAAAAAACTAGAAGAAAAGCCAAGTCCGGGTTACAGAACGGGCCGTTCTGCTTGCAGTCGTTTTTCTTTTTTTTAAAATTTTTTTACTTTTTACGTCGGACTTGTCATGTCCGACATAAATTTACGTCAATTTTTTACGGGCGACATAAATTTACGTCTCCAGCTTCTACATCGGAGGTTTTTCTGACGTAAAATCCCTAAAAATAACCGACATAAATTTACTATTCTGTACCAGTGTTTATAAATATAAAATATATGACATGAATATTTTTTTAAAAAACTTAATAAAGATCAAGTTATGAAATTGAATTAATGGTTCCTCAATTCAATCTCTAACTTATTGCTCTAATATCCTAATCAATTTGAGTATCAGTTTGATTTTTAAAATATTGGTACAAACGATCATTTTATTTTACCAAATATTTTATCATCATATTTTTAAGGTTATGCAGTCGTATTCATAAGCAATATTTCATTTACTTTTTTCTTGTTTACCAAGAGTTGGAACCCTCAGTTTAGGTAAGCCTATATTTATTTCTATTTTTTTATATTATTTTTTGTTTGGAAAATCTTAAATTCATGAATAAATCACTTATTTTACCTTTAAAAGTGTTAGGCGTTGTCATTCTATTATATGTTTGGATTGACATTGGTTTTGTGGTGAGAATCGCAAAAATTACATATTTTAATTTTTGCTTAAATATGTTCAAACTACTTAAGTTGATTAATTTTCAGATTATTACTTATTAAAAAAAATTGTTTTAAATACTTGACTATTTTTTTTTTCAATTTAGTACCTGATGATAGTCTCTCTCTATTAAGTGATGACGTGGTTGACGGACTGTCATGCCATCACCCAGCAGTATTTGTCGTATCATCTAAATGTCCACCTCACTCTCTACATCATTGGCCACGTCAAATTTAAATTTTTTTTAAAAAAATTGTTTCTCGATTTAGGTTTTAAGGTTTGGTGGAGGTGTGGGTGTTTGTGGTGGAGGTGTGGGTGTTTGTGGTGGAGGAGGGGGAACAAGGTTTCATGGTTGAGACTGATAGATGGAATGTTGACTCTGCTAGGCTAGATTTCTAGCTTCATGTAGGCTCTTGTAACACCCCAATTTTTTATTACAGAACGGGCCGTTCTGCTTGCAGTCGTTTTTCTTTTTTTTAAAATTTTTTTACTTTTTACGTCGGACTTGTCATGTCCGACATAAATTTACGTCAATTTTTTACGGGCGACATAAATTTACGTCTCCAGCTTCTACATCGGAGGTTTTTCTGACGTAAAATCCCTAAAAATAACCGACATAAATTTACTATTCTGTACCAGTGTTTATAAATATAAAATATATGACATGAATATTTTTTTAAAAAACTTAATAAAGATCAAGTTATGAAATTGAATTAATGGTTCCTCAATTCAATCTCTAACTTATTGCTCTAATATCCTAATCAATTTGAGTATCAGTTTGATTTTTAAAATATTGGTACAAACGATCATTTTATTTTACCAAATATTTTATCATCATATTTTTAAGGTTATGCAGTCGTATTCATAAGCAATATTTCATTTACTTTTTTCTTGTTTACCAAGAGTTGGAACCCTCAGTTTAGGTAAGCCTATATTTATTTCTATTTTTTTATATTATTTTTTGTTTGGAAAATCTTAAATTCATGAATAAATCACTTATTTTACCTTTAAAAGTGTTAGGCGTTGTCATTCTATTATATGTTTGGATTGACATTGGTTTTGTGGTGAGAATCGCAAAAATTACATATTTTAATTTTTGCTTAAATATGTTCAAACTACTTAAGTTGATTAATTTTCAGATTATTACTTATTAAAAAAAATTGTTTTAAATACTTGACTATTTTTTTTTTCAATTTAGTACCTGATGATAGTCTCTCTCTATTAAGTGATGACGTGGTTGACGGACTGTCATGCCATCACCCAGCAGTATTTGTCGTATCATCTAAATGTCCACCTCACTCTCTACATCATTGGCCACGTCAAATTTAAATTTTTTTTAAAAAAATTGTTTCTCGATTTAGGTTTTAAGGTTTGGTGGAGGTGTGGGTGTTTGTGGTGGAGGTGTGGGTGTTTGTGGTGGAGGAGGGGGAACAAGGTTTCATGGTTGAGACTGATAGATGGAATGTTGACTCTGCTAGGCTAGATTTCTAGCTTCATGTAGGCTCTTGTAACACCCCAATTTTTTAAAAAAAGTATTTTTGTAATTAATGGCATTTTGTAATTTTAATAAAGGAATAAGGGTATTTTTGTAATTTTATTATTAATGGCATTTTCGCTATTTTATTAAAGTTTGAGGGGTAAAAGGGTAACTTGGAACGGGCTGTTCCAAAATTGGAACGGGCCGTTCCAAGCAATAAAAATATACTGAAATTTCAAGTTGAGAACGGGCCGTTCCGGAGGGAGAACGGGCCGTTTTGTTGAGATTGAGAACGGGCCGTTCTGATTTCAGAACGGGCCGTTCTGCTTTTTGGGAACAGGCCATTCTGATTTTGGAACGGGCCATTCCAATTGAAAATTTTGCCCACGTTTGAAGGATCCGGA